GAAATACAGTACTGTCCATCGATGCCTTTTACCAAGCCTATCAGCTATTGTACTAAATAGATTACTATCATTACAAATGACAGGTCACAATACTTCCCACGGAGCCAATTTTGTACAGTATTATCATTCAATTCTGCAAATATTAGCACATACTGAGCAGAAATGGTTGTCTTTTTTAATATAGTCAGTTTGTGAAGCACAAATTGCTGAAGAGACTGAATCCAAACTGTAGCTAAATGGCAAACATGAATCACTGAATGGCATGCAACGCAATTATTTACATTAAAAACTTTACTTCAATTCAAATAGTCAAGTTTCTCATTACATTATGCCATTATGTTAAACTGAAAGCATTTCATTCTACTGCACTTTTAGGAGTTAGCACATACACATTTACGGTGTTGCATTCTGCAGGGCACATAAATAGAAGTATCCAATTTGATCATCTTAATTCTATAGGATTAGAAACATTTAATGAAATATAACCGTATGGTAGGGCGTAGTAATGGAAATTCCATTTTAAACTGCAATGTGTTATAAAGAGCCTGGATTTTACATAATTTGATAAATTGTGACAAATAAATATTTCTTACACTGTATATGCACACACATACACACACACACCACTGACTTCAATGCGTTTAACCATTTCCAGCCAGAGAAAATGTAACTTAATGATCCATTACTTCAGTTCTGAATTACCAAAGGATTAAAGAAAAAAATAAAATATAGCCACTTCCCACTCCATTAAATAGCAAAATGTAAACTTGACTGATAGTGCTATTCAGTTGCTATTCACTGCCGGTGGGGAAAAAAATCTGCGAGCCACTCATACCTCTAACTCTGAACTCCAATCAGTTCCTCTGTTGACTTCCAGATTGAAGATGGTAAGATCTGATTAAACCACCGCACTGTACCACAATCCCACTTGAATGTGTGAATACTAAAATAAAACTTCAGCAGCCAAATGGCTGGTTCGCGAGCTCTGTGAAAACTCTCCAACAGATTGCAGATTGCGGACATGGTGAACAGGTCACTTTAGCAAAACAGCGATGAGACAAGTCAAAACCCCACGACTCAGAAATGCTATTGACTCATGTGTTGGGAGGACCATGTTTCACTTGTGTCAATCGCGCATGGAAGTTCGTGGGTAAATATTTAACTGCTGTTACGAAATCTTTCGCACAAGAAGGCAATAAAAATATGGATCGTTTGCGAAAGGCCTCTGTCGCGTTTAATACCAAAGTCTTTTAAGCTCTAAAATCCTCACATTGTTATACCGGTCGCCTGTGACAGCCGATTTGCAGCTATTCACAGCTCACAATAATAATGCAAAAAATTCCACACTGGGATTGCAGTGTGTGTACTCCTTTTGAGCGTGAGGCTGTCTTTTCCCCCCCCCCGCAGAAATAAATCCATTCATCCGGCCATGTAGTCATTGAGGACGATACAAAATAAACCAAGTGTGAGAAATTCTACGTGATGAAGTAAACAAAAAACATTTCCATGACAAAAAGATACTTTGCACTTCATCTACCTTACCATATGCAGCGTTTCTCTCTCTCTCTCTCTCTCTCTGTGTTTTTTTTGGGGGGGAACGTTTCTGCCGTTCAAAATCTGCACTGCAAAGGTGAGAATAATCCCCCAAAATAGGAGATTTACATTTCGTCTGAACAAATAGCTGTGAAAGTCACGTGAAGTTTTTTTTTACCCCCAGAAAAAAAAAAGATTTGAAAAAAAAAGGCAAATGTTATTGTGCGGCTTTGGTGCGCGCGTAACTTACAGAGATAACCAAAAGGCGATTGTTTTCTGCAGTGAATATTTGGTTCAGATGCGCAAATGTTGCTATGTTTTTTTGAAGTTGAAGCTTTTTTTGGGGGGGGAGGGTGGGAGGTGGGAAGGGGGGAGAGAGGGAAGGTGGGGGTGGGGGGGGGGTGTAGAGTGGAGGGGAAAGGGGCGTTGGGGGGTTGGAATAAATCTGCGGATTAATAAATCGAGATGTTTATGTGTGTAAAAAAAAATGCATCTGACCCGACCTGATCGGACCGAATCAAAAAGTTTGTGGCGCGTTTCGGGGTCTTTTGAGCGAAACTCTTATTTTACAATCTTTCATCGCGACGCACGTTGTATGTACATTGTGGTACATTGTAGCCCGAAACGTTCGCGAAGGACGGAGCCGCGACTCGCGGCGGCTTTCGCCCCCCTTTTTCCCCTTAAATTGGATCGCGAACGAAAACAAAAACAACCCCTCCGGTCCTTGACAGTTTTTTCCCATTCCTTCGTGAAACTGCGGTGACCCCGAGTCCCTGTCTTTTAATGGTTTTAAGCGCAATACGCTTTTGAGGAAATTCCTCTCTTTTTCTGATATATATATGTGTATATGTGGATGGAAAAAAGACAGGAGGGGGGGGGGGAAAAAAGGGGGGGGGGGAGGGGGTTAATGAATTATACAACCTGGAGCAGGCGGTCACCCCCTCTCCTGCATTTGGGAGGAAACTGACTGCAAATGCTTTCCCACCCAAGTTCTTTTGACGCTCTCTTTGCAAACAGAAAAGGGCAACACTCGAAACTTGGGTCACATTTCGGTGCGGGTTCTTACATTTTGTTTTCCTTTTCA